AAATTTGTTCGGGGGTGCATGCTACGTAAGAACAGCATTCAGACCGAAAGCTTTGACCAGTGAGTCCAGGAATGAACATCGGTGGCCTACGGATGTGCCTAGTGGTACCTGTATATTTGTGAAGAGAAGATTTACAACGGGTAGCCAGGTTGCAATAGCTACGATGCTGAGAACCGTAATAAATGCAGCAACAAAATGCGTGAACAGCAAATCGGAAAGGGGCGCTAGCGCAGTATTCGACGTCTAGCCAGCTGGTGAGGACAGCGTGTCGAGGTACTTTACACGTTTCTGGGCTAGATGAAGAAAGTACCTGCAATTCATTTGGCGTGAAGTTTGCCACGGCGGGTACCAATGGCAAATGAAGTCGGATCACACTGATCTTGAAAAAAATGAGCGCAGAACTGACTGCGTGAAAAGGCAATCTATTATAAGGTGGAGAGTAGGGGGATGTGGCAGAACCAGCAGGCAGGTCCACCACTTCATTACCAGCAACTGCGAATTGTGCCGTACACATTAAGGCGAAGGTAACAATGCCTCCATCAGCAACCTATACCACACTAGTCAAGTATAGCATAAGGATCTTTTTCAGCGACTTTCAGCGACGACTCGATCCACACTCATAACAGAAACGTGAGCACCTGTGGGTATCAAAGCTTTGACAGGAGTGTCATCAACAGAGACTTGAAGAGTGTACTATTGTAGACGCCAGAGCAAAAGAGGATTTTCGGGTAAAGTCGACCTTTTAGCTTCCCTAAAGAAGCTGCCTGATAGACCTTATCGGAGAAATTCACCGACTGCGTCCAAGCTATCCAGACAACAATCTATTGACCTCCTCCTCAATTTATATAAGAGGAATAGGCGGTAAGCGAGGTGCATACCTTTTGCTCTGCTCTATATCTCGTCAACCCGTTCCGTTGACCTTTGGTACAGATACCTTGAAGCCGTGGTTGGTCTGAACTCACCATGCGTTGAATTTTTTGTTATGAAACGCTGCTGAATATAGCGCATGTACAATGAGCCAGGCAATCATGTTTGTTATTCGGCTTCCAACAAATAAACTGCGAAACATCGTTATGTCCACCAGAAGTAGCGCCAAGGTATGAAAGAAACAAGCATGTCTTGCGCGTTTTCTTCGGGTGATTTGTTGGTCAGATCTTAAATTAGAAGCAAAGGTATTCAGGTGAGTTTTTACTGATCCATATTGGTATTTAATTTAGGAGCGCGAAACATCAGTCGTAGGGAGATGACAGAAAGCGGGTGCACGTACACTTTTTACAGTTTACAATATTGCGGGCAAAAACTATCAAGATGTCGAGACCAGGCAGCACTTAGAACTTCACTTCTTCGTTCTCTAAGTAACCGGCACATAATAATACCCTGTGGTGGTGAAGGCACTGTTTCGGTGCAGCCGGAGAAAGACGGTAACGAAAGTGGTCAATATCCATGTGCGCTGAGGGAGTCCGGTGTATGATAAGGCTTCAGACGGAGAACGTGAACGATGTCGGTACGGAGTTGCGTGGACGAGCACGAAGACAATTTTTTTTATTTCATACGTGACGTCGGTCATTGGCGGCACACACGATATGGTCCGCAGTACGAGAGCAGTAGCTTCTCAGAAAGTTTATTACTGCATGCTGGAGACCACAGGAGGACAAGAGATGCTGAAGGATAGTGGGCGTTTCGGTGAATGCTGTCGTGAGGAGATTTTAGGCCCGATTTCCAATCAGTTTGCCAAACAGCGGGCATGCTGACGTGCATGGTCGGCGCAGACTATAGTTTCTAGAACATAACCAGTGGGTGGGTACGTCGAAGGAGGCATCGTTGTGTCCATAGGTAACGTTGGATATTTGCCAAATAAGAGAAAGAAAGGCGACTAGTCAGCCGTCTCGTGCCACGTTGTATTGTAGGCGAATGTGACAAAATAAACACTAAATCACAATTCTATGATCGGCAGACACCTACATTGCCTGCATGTATTGGCTCAATTCAATCGCTCCGTGAAACAATTCGTTTGCGGATGGTAGGCCATGGTTAGCTTATGTTTAATCGAGCAATACATTAAAGTATCATTGATAGCACGAGATATAAACTGCCTTGCATGGTTCGTAAGAAGCTGAAAGATGACGTTGCGGAGCAAGAAGTTTGGTACGTTGGTCGCGTAGTTGGTGGGAAGTGCGCGAGTATTGGTAAACCGTGTGGCATAGCCCTTGGCAACGGCGTTTCATCGATTTTTCGAGACAGACGTAGGGAACGGACCAAGCAAGTCGAGGCTGACACGATAAAATGGTTCATATGGTACGTCGAGGAATTGAAGACAGCCGGCCGGTGAGACTGTTGGCTTGTTCTGGCGCTGACAAAGATCGCACGAAGTCGCGTAACGGCGTACTGACCTATAAATTGCTGGCCAGTAGACCCGAGGGTGGGCACGATTGTCGGTGCGAAAGACGCCGAGGTGCGCCGCCATCGGCACGTCGTGAAGCTGGGCCAGAACAGTTTAACCAAGGCGTGCCAGAATCACAATAAGAGGCCAGGACCATCGCGTATCAGACGGTGACGTAGCAAAGTGCCGTTGCGTAGCACGAAGAGACGAATACATGAACCGGGAGCCGTAAAGTTGAGGTGGTTGATCATCTTGCGAAGAGTATAATTACGTCATTGCCCATCAGCAATGTTGAACAGGTCAGTTGTAACAAGGACAAACTGAATGGTACCGTTCGCAGAAGGGTCTGAGGGTTCGCCTGGATAACGGCACAGGCAGTCGGCATCTTGATGCAAGCCACCACTCTTGTCGACAACACTGAACGTGTACTCTTGAAGTCGTAGTGCCAATCGAACAAGTCGACCAGCCGGATCCTTGATTGAAGAGAGCCAGCATAGGGCGTGGCGATCACTTACCATGGTGAAAGGTCTGCCGTACAGATAGGGCTGAAATTTTCCGACAACCCACACAAGAGCAAGGCACTCTTTCTCGGCTTTTCTTCCACTCAGCTGCAGAGAGAAATCGGCTTGCGTAAGCAATGACGCAGTCGTGGTGACCACATTGCTTTTGACCAAGGACAGCGCCGATACCATCACCACAGCCATCGATGCGTACTTCGGTAGGCGCAAAATCGTTGAAATGGACCTACACAGAGGGTGACGAGAGTCGGTCAACGAGACGAAAAAAAGCCGATGCTTGGTCACGGCCACAAATTAAAGGGACGTCCTCTTCTGAAAGGCGTGTAAGGGGCTGCGCAATCACTGCGAAATCTTTAACAAAGCGGCGAAAATACGAGAACAGGCCAAAAAACGAGAGAACGTCCTTGGAAGAACGTGGAATAGGGAAGTTGGAGACAGCGGGTACTTTCGCTGAATCAGGTCGTAAAACCACAGCGTCAACAAGATGGCCGAGCACAGTGATCTCTCGGCGTTTAAAGCGGCATTTTGATGAGTTGAGTTGAATACTGGCGGTATGAAAGACTTGCAAAATAGTCGACAAGCGTAGCAGGTGACTGATGATTGTCAGGGAGAAAACGACGACATAATCGAGGTAGCAGAGGCATATGAACCACTTGAAACTCCTCAGTAGCAGGACCATCAAGCGCTCAAATGTAGCTAGCGTGTTGCACAACCCAAAGGGCATGACTTTAAATTGGTATAGACCATCGGGTGTAACAAAGGAGGTCTTTTTCCAATCATTTTCTTCGACAGCTATTTTTATGTGCGGCTCACTTAGAGGACAAAGAAGTGAAGGTCTAGATGGTGTCCACTCTTGGAATGTTAGTTGTTTTTGCCCGCATTACTGTAGACTGTAAATACACCCGTTTTCTGTGATCTTCCCCGGTAACATCGTTGGTAGAAGAGATGGGTACATGCGGAGCCAATCGCGGAACAACGCAGAGGACGTCTTCTTAGACAGTCCATCATGTCGACAGACAATCAGGCCAATCGAGCCTCCGCTATGCTGAATGCACCAAGCCACGTTGTTGTGACCCATCTCCGAGACCTTCTTGCGGACTCATAACGTGCACGGGGAGAAGCGGCTGGCCTAATACGAGCGCGCTAGCAATTTCAATCACTGGGATCCGACTTTGAGGCTTCCAATTGTAAGCTACTACCTCAGGGGTATGGCCACTGTGTGGTTTGACACGCACGAAGAGGAGCTGACCAGCTGGGACGTATGTAAACTAAAAAAGAAAGACCTTTTCAAGAACCCCAATGCACCCGATCGAGCCGCCTAGAAAGAACGCTCGTTCCGGGCGCTAACTTCAATGGAGCCATACATGAATTACATACAAGATTGCTTAGCCTTGTGCCGACAAGTTGATAGACAAATTCCTGAAGCCGACAAAGTTAGTCACATTCACAAAGGCATCACTGAGGACGCCTTTCACTTGCTTGTGTTTAAAAAATGCTCCACCTTTGACGACTTTATCAGGGAGTGCCGATGGTTTGAATAGACAAAGATCCGACGAGTTAAACAGCAATTTGTTCGGTTCCTATAACACTGCCACGACATTGTCGTGCGAAGACGCCCAGATCCAACCACCCCCAAGACCAAACAGTTCCTTCGTCTTGTGCAGTGAGAGGAGGCATCACCTACACCTTACTTTTCTGTCTTCTAGGTGAGCGGCACGTAACGAAATTTCTTAAATAGAGCGTTCATGTGTGTAATCTGTCTCCTTATATCTAGTCTGTTTAGCCCTCCTAAATACTATCACACGTCTAATTTTATAATACCATCACACAGAATACTGAATGAACTTAGGAGCAGAAAGCGAAGTTTGCGTTCATTGTGTTGATTTTGGCGATACAACTCCTTTTATGAAAACAATACCAAACGCCTGCGAACGTGAAACTACGAATTACATTGCAGTTTTTGAGCGTGGAGTTGGACAATAACCGAACGATTACAGACGTCTGCATAGCGAAATACTCCTGTGATCTTCATTCCAAATAGAGGTGCAACTGCACCAGGAACAAAAGAAAATAAATAGTGTTTTGCTCATGAACAGTTTTACCTTCCTCAGATCTTCCAAGGTAGGGACCTCATTATCCTCTTCCTCTGAATTACATGAAGAACGTTCAACGTTAGCAAAACTGCAAATACAGAAAGTTATTAGGTACAGTGTGAAGGACTTCATCATTCCACTCTCTGATTGCGGTCGAAGCTTTCGCCAGCAATCAGGACTATATGCTTTCGAAGAGCTCACAGCCTTAATTATATCTCAAGGAGGCCAGATGACAATACGTAGGTTTCCTTTGTATCACATCTTGATTAAACGTTCCTATCAACAAAAAGACAATACAATTCTCAGAAGTGTTCATCTAAAACGCTTAATTACACATGTTAGTGTGACTCCTTTTGCGACATGAAGCCTGTGAAATGAAGTTTGACTGAAGACGACCAAGGCAACAGCATTACAGACTGTACAAATTCGCTTGATTAACTACTCTGGTGCTATGAGCTCAAAGAACTATTCAGTGAGCGTCTTAAATTTCAAGGAATAGAAAGCAAGTAACTAGACCCCTAGTAAAGTAGGAACGCAGTGTACCATTCATTTTGTATGGCACAGTTTAGAGCTCTTTTGAAAGGGTGTCAGGCGTAGGTCTTAAGGACGTAACCATCATTATCATCAGCCTGACAGCGCCCACTGCAGGGAAAAGCCCTTTCCCAAGATCCGCCAATCAACATCGACTTGTGCTTTCTACGGTGCTTATACAAGCGAACTTTTTCATCTCATCGGCCCACCTAACTCTCTTTCTCCAGCATGTGTGTTTGCTTTTTCTGGGAATGCAGTCAGGCAGACGCGTAAACAGGATGCTTTTTATTGAGGGGGGAGGGGGCTAGGGAGGCATGGTTTATATCTTCGAAAGAAAGTCGTTTAATGGCAAAAAGAAAAAGTTGTCGGAGATATAGATGGTGCAAAACTATTGAAAGAAATTGAGAACAGGAGCTTAGCGCTAAAGCTGAGTTAATCAGTGATGACAGGTGAATTCTGACACTGCAGTAAAACTAATGCGTTTGAACCAAACAAAATTCTTTCCTACCAAATATACCCGACCAAGATGGCTAATAATGAACCAGTAACGAGAAAAGGCATGACGAAAGGGGCGGGGGGGGGCTAGAGAACCGGTTGCCGACTTACGCGTGTGTGGCAATATATATATATATATTGTCAAAACGCACACACAGCATAAGTTCAATATAGAAGAGGTCACTTAATTAAATGAAAGGCGCTCGTAAAGAGGACCGGGCCAGAACTTTGTCTTTCTTTCTTGCTGCGCTATCTCTTCTCAGCAGGTTCAATGCGGCATTTGCCTCCCTCCAGGAAAAGCATCGTACCGATGCTCTGCTACAAAATACGCGAGGTATGTAGTTTACGTATTATGCAACTTACTCACTGCGATATGGGTTCATCTGCACAACGTGTACGATTTCTGATTTTTGCTGGCGAGTTCACGAGGAACTGTCAGGCATGTCCTCATAATTAACGTCACTTAGGCGCCGTACAACATTGTAGGGACCAAAGTACTTCTTCAGTAACTTTTCGGAAAGGCAGCATTGGTGAATTGGGCCTCCGACCCACACTTTCTTGCCAGGTTGATTAGTGACGTATCGGTGTAGTAGGTTATAACGTCGTAAATCTGCTGCCGGGCGATTCGCACGCGTGCTAGCTGCCGCGCCTCTTCAGCTCGTTGGGTAAAGGATTGAACATCCATGTCTGTATCGTCGCAGTCATGCAGCAACATGGCATCAAGCATTGTCGTCAATTCACGGCCATAAAGAAGACTAAATGGCGTGCTTCGAATAGTTTCCTGCTGCGCCGTATTATAGGCAAACGTCACGTATGGTAGAACGTCGTCCCAATTTTTATGACCCACGTCGATATACACACTCAGAATATCGGCAATTGTCTTGTTGAGGCATTCTGTTAGGCCGTTGGTTTGTGGGTGGAAAAAGGTAGTTTTTCCATGCGCTCTTCAACTCAGCTCAAGCAGTGACTTAAAGGGCATGGCAGTGAAAGGAGTACCTCTGTCCGTTAATATAATTCTAGGAGTACCACGCCTGAGAACGATATCTTCAACAAAAAATCATTCCGCTTCTACTGCGGCTCCACTTGATAAAGCCTTTGTTTTTGCGTAGCGAGTAAGATAGTCGGTAGCGACAATTACCCACTTGTTACCAGTATGTGAAGTCAGAAATGGTCCAAGAAGGTCCATTCCGAATTGTGCAAAAGGTATGGTGGGCACCTGAACTGGTTGCAACAATCTGGCTGGTTTTAAAGGTGGCGATTTTCGTACTTTTCTGCAGAACGACAATCGTAGTTATCCCAGCATATCTGTGTTCCTATCCTCAGTGCAATCTCGCACTTACATTGAAACTCCACCACTGGGTCTTGACAGAGAGAGAAAATATTGATAAATAACAGCCGCTAAACACGGCTGCATGAAAGAGAAGGACGAAGTGAGTTTCGTTTGATGCTGAACCGGCGCCATCTTGTTCGTCGAGTTCTGTGCGTTTTAAATAGATTAACAAATAAATTACTTGTAACATTATTGGTGAAGGAGCTGGTACTTGTCACCCTACACTGGACCATTCTATATCGTTCGTCAAGTGACAGGCGTCACGTACGAGATTGTTCCAACCAATTTAAAAGTCATCGTCGGCTCTGAGCGACATTGTTCACGTGGCTCGGCTAAATGCCTATTACCGTCCTTTTGACATCATCTGCGTAGATTTAGCACCAGGGACGGTGCTTCTACCGCCAGGAGTTATGATGCATAACAGCCGCTAAACACGGCTGCATAACAGAGAAGGAGAAAGTGAGTTTTGTTTCATGCTAGACCGGCGTCATCTTGTTCGTCGAGTTGTGCGCGTTCTAAATAAATTGTAAATAAGTTACTCGTAACAATATCTACGCATTAGTTCCCATCTCTTCCAGTTAGTCAGCATGAAGTCAACCTGCTCCAAGACAACAATATTGTCAATGTATGGGCTCTGCAGGTACACAGGACAAACGGTGTGTGAGTTCTAAGAGTGTCTCGCTGAGAGCGAGGCATATAAGAAAGCTGGGCGAACAGGTTCGCTAATAGAGGAAATGAATGGTGAACAATGTTGCCAAGCCAATGAAGGTGTTCATGAATTTTTCAAGTCAGTGCACAATCTGGGAAGGCGTTTCTGTTAACTTTGAGACGGCATTGTGATGTTCCACCAACTTTGTTTCAAAATATCAGCGCAGCTGGCTGAGTGACTGTAAACGCTTCTAGACATTTTTTTTTACAGAACTGCTGTGTTTTCGGGTGACACCCGAAAGAAACTGCACACTTAGGTAATTGTCCGAAAGGCCCATCGAATGTCTTGCCCAGCTAAGGCGTCAAAGAAAGGTTTCGAGAGTGCTACAAGCAGTTAGTGTGTAAAGCCATATAGAAGTCCGTGTGGATAAGCGCATGCTTTCTAGAGGTCAACGACGTCCTTCTCTCCCTTTCACTCTGTCAAACTCTGATTCTCGCCGCCGAGTCATCGAGCCACGCAATGAGCGGGAGCTGCGGTCACTGGGTGCTTCAGGGTTGTCCCACAGCTGGCTATATAAGCCAGAACTGTAGTTCATTTCTCTCTTTTCCTCTGCTTTTCTATCGTCATGAGGTGTAAATGAACCTCGACCTCTTGTGCAAGAGTACATTTCCTCACTACAAATCATGATTCAGGTGATGAAGGCCAGCTACTAATTGAGAATGGCCGAAACTGGTCTCAAAAACTACAGGTAGCGTTAAGATCCTCCTTGCTCACGACCCGCCACACCACGCCAGCTCAGAATCCCTCGAGAAATCGAGGTGGAAGAAACGACTCAAATTTATCTGAGTCCACAGACGAGTCTGTGGTAAGGATGTGGCCGTATCCCCACAGCTTTCGCTGCGCTACGCATACACGAATCATGCAGAAGCTTCCCTGGCTTCCCGTCCGAGCCCAAGTGCGCGGAGACGGTGGCACGGAGGCTCAGTAAGTGAGGCGGTGGTTGGTGAAGTCTCTTGGTTAACGGATAGCCTGGTTTGCTCGTTCAGTGGATACGTGTTGTATCATGTAGTTTGGTCAGTGAGACAGTCTAAAAGTATCATTAGACGACATCATGGGAGCAGTGGCAAGTTGGGAAGAAGTCACCGAGGAGACATTTGATCACCTCCTATGGCGAAGGGGAACAAATCGTCTGCGCTCCTGTCTACGTGCAATGAATCACCAAGCCGGTGAATAAGATATCAGCTTCGCACAGACCAGTGTAAGAATGCCCAGATACAAGATGGAACTCGTGTGAAACATTTGATTTCTTTTGATTACAAAGTCGACGTCTTAATCACTGTTTATTCTTTCGGCAGTCAACGATTAGCGTATTGTTTAATCTGTAAAGAATAAATACGAGACAATCAAGCGAAGTCACCTTGCATGGCGTTCGAACCGAACCGAAACATACTTGGGCTACGAAAACATTCTTCGTTTTTCAGTGTAAGCATGATCGAGGTACATTGAAGGCTTGAGAGCAAAAATAAATGCATTAACTTGCACAATGTCAGAGCGGCTAGTCGATCGCACCTCGGTGGCAATAAATTGCTTCCGTCACAGTTTCTCATAAGGGCCTGTGCTAAATAAGTTAAATCGTGTAAGAGGCACGTTTTTCTGTGCTGTTTTTCTAACAGAATGTTTCCGCCAAGTTTCAGCAGGTCTGTAGTTACCTTATTCTAACCAGCGGCCTCATTTCTTTGCATTCTTATTACGAATTTTGTGACTTCACCTGTCATTACTAATAGGATGTCGAATTCCTCTGGGGTATTATTGCTTCATAAGATATGAGTTTGGTTGTTTAAAACTCTGTACTTTCCCTCTCAAGGCTACATCCATAATTGGCTTATCAACTAGCTGACTAATTAGGTGATGACACAACTGCGTAAAGAATGATGTCATTCTGGCGCCTCTTTGGTCATATTCAATCTAGGTGGCCCTCGTAAGTCACCGACGTTGTTGCTGCTGACGGCGCTCAGCGCAATTTGGCTGTTAGTGTTTGGTCGTCCTCAAAACACTGGCTATGAAACCCCACTTTCGTTCTTGTTCGCTCATGGCGTATAGTGATCCTCGGCTACAAGCTGTATTTTCGTATAGTGAAAGCTTTTATGAGTGCCTGCCAGTATTTAAGCAGGTTAAGAAACGTTC